AAGCTTGACAGGTGCTGAAGGGCAGCAAAAAGCTCGAGAGCTTGAGCAGCTGCAGGAATCATCTCAACGACCTTGGAGGCCACCAAGATGCAGTAATTGCAATCAAGAAGGCCATAATTGGCTTAAATGCCCTAGTAAATAGTCCCTCCTTATTTATATAGTCAAATATATTGAATTTTGTTGCACAAAAAAGCTTCATCTGCAGGCATTGTTAGGCGCTTTCAGCCGTGGTTGGGGTGGCAGCTCGGTGTCCGATTACGTTATAAGTAATTAATTAATAATCCTTATTAAAGAGGGTAAAGGGTTCTATACTAGACTATAATTAGGCTAGTAGTTCTTATAAGTAAATAAAATAAGGTATTATTATACTAATAGGGTAGGAAATAACTAATTAAATTAATTACTTGTAAGAGAGGATATTTATAAAATTATTGATTATAATACCTTAGAAAGGGTTATTAATAAAGGTTTAAAAGGGAAATTTAAGTTATCTCTATATTCTTAGGACTATAGGCTACTCTTAGGTTTTATTATCTAAGTACTAATATAATATAATAATAGAAATATATATAGTAATACTATATTAACTATAAGTATTAGTAATAATATGCTATACTAAATATAGAAATAGCTTATCGTAGTCTTAAAGTATTTTTTTAAGACCTAGTACTAATCCTTAATATTTATAGTTTAATTAATAGCTATTATAATAGGGGGAGGTTATTTTAAAAAGGATAAAAATAGTATCTTTATATCTATTAAGGTTAGCTTACTATAATATTATTAATAACTAAATATAAGGTTTAAGCTATTAATTTAAAGAGGTGCTAAAGGTATTATTAGCTAATAAAGAGGTATATAAAGAATAAGAGGTAATATTTAATTATAAAATTATAGTATTAAGAAATTAAAGGAGTAAATAAATTATTAATAATTATTATCTTAAAATGGGGTTCTAATTATAGAAATAAAGGTTATATAGTTTATTATAATTTCTTAGTCTTCTTTTTATTTAAAGGAGTAATAAGTTTATAATAATCTTATAGTAATAGTATAGTTTATTAATCTTAAAAATTAAAAGCCTTTTAAAATAGTTTTTTAACATAGCTATAGAATTCTTGGATAACTTAATATAAAACTAAATAAGATATAGGCTAAGCTATAAAATATAAAAATAATTATTAAATAGCTCTACTAGTCTTATTTAATAGTATTATTAGGATATCTATATATAAAAATGATCTAATAGGGGTATAATAGATTTATTATATAAAAAATAGTAAATTAGAAGGCTAATTTAATTCCCTTAAGAGGTAGGGAAAATATTAGTATAAAATTAGTTTTTATTAAAGGGGTTAGATATTATAGTTAGTATAAGGACAGGCTTATCTATATAGATAGTATTAGTTAGAGGTTATAGTAGGAGAGGCTTACCTAATATCCCCTTGGCTGATATTAAAATGTTCAAATTAGCGCCTTGGCACTTGATGTTGCTTATCATTGGTCCATATAGTCACTGCTTTTGTAACTTTTGTTAAAGACAGCAGAATCCATACATACTAGGTACTTGGACCAATAACATAGACAGCACCTTCAAAGTGGTGAAGGGTTTGACCAATGAGAGCTACTATAAAAGGCGCTAATTTGAACATTTTATTACCAGCCAAGGGGATAGGAGACCCTTATAAGGTCTATAGTAGTAAAAGATAAAGGTAATACCTTAGTATACCTAGGTAATAAAATTAATAAAATTAATAATTAATTATATATTAGATCCCTAGATATGCTACCAATTTATAAGAGAAGACAACATCTATGTAGAAGATGATGATATTAAGATTACTACTAGTCTACCTGCTGGTTGCTGGATACATCTCCAAGGGCGGTGAGATACTGCCGGCTGACAGCTATAGCCTTTATATAGCCCTAGTTAGTAACTAAATACTACACTTATTGCTTCTCTCTATCTTATTATACTCTGCCAGACACTCTTATGGGCTTATAGGAGTCTTATTCTAGTCCCTGTTACGAACCAACAGAACGAAGCGCTGTCCAACACAGCAACACAGGATGAAACACTACCCCGCAAGATTGACAGGATTAGGCATACAAGGTCACGTGACTTAGGAAGGTCCATTGATAAGATAAGCAGAGGAGTCCAACAAGGACCGTGGAAGGGAGGTCCAGTATGGACCACGAGAAGAAGGTCCAACAGGGACCGACGGAAGGAAGGAGATGGAGGACCAAAACAGAAGTTATAAAAGAAGGCTCAATCTCATGTATCTAGTCTCTCCTTACTCGCGCTCAATTCAATCCATTTAACCTGAGTTACTAAGATACTTACTTTGGGGGTCAGTAAGACTTCTTACTACTAGTGGTATACTCCGGTATAGCTCTAGTAGGCGTTGCCTCTGACCTAGTCGTTATCGTTCTTG